CGAGGCTGCCCCTCTGCAGCAGCGCCCGCGCTGCCAGGCGAGTGCCTCAGCGCCGAGTCCTGACCCTGCTCACAGCGACAGTCGAAATTACTTTCATGGAATCACTGAATCACCAGTTTTGGGAGAGATCCACAAGACTATCCAGTCACTCGTCCACCCAGCACTACGCTAAACCCTAAACCACCTTCCGGGTAACCAATTTCTGACCACCCGAGCAGTGACAAAGTTTTTAATGTGAATCTCCCATCTCTCAGGCCATTTTCTGTTGTCCTCTCTGTAAGTACAGTAGAAAAGAACCGGCCCCCACCTGAGTACACTTTCAGGTAGTTGTAGAGAGCAATGAGGTCTGATAGGTGAGTTTTAATGCGTGAAATTCAGGCACAGTCTAGTCTACTCTTGCCTGTAATACGTAACTTTCAAGTAAAGCTGCCTGGAACAACAGGTCCTCCTGTACACTCTTTGTCCGTGTCCTCCCCCAGACCCCTCCACGGTGCTAGACAGTCTGCCTGAGATCAAAAGCATTGCAATGGACATCATGGGCACAAAAAAGGGACGTCCTCACAGCACCAAGCCTGAGTACAAGAAACATTTGGACAGTGCTCTAGTAACATGGTGTGATTCTTGAGGCTGTCTTGTGCCTGGCCAGGAACTGGTTGATGATCCCTGTGGGTCCATTCCAACTCAGCATATCCTGTGATTGTCTGAAAATATACTATTGCAATCCTTACCTGCCTGCCTACTATGCATTTTCAGTAGACTTACAATCTATACACAGTTTTATCTTGAGAGAGTTCATTTCAGGGGAAATTGGAGAAATTTATATATATCTCATTACCAGATCATTACCTTCTCAACCCAAACAGAGCCAGAAATTGATGCTATAGGCAGTTTATTTATCTTTGTAGAGTTATGCAATTTGTCCTACAGTACTTGAGGAAAGCATGTCTTTTTCTGGTAGGCTAGATCTTACTCCTTATTTACTGACTAAAAATGCAGCTTTTCCCAAATATAGTTGTTTGGCCCTACCAGAAGCCAACAAACTGTAGCAGTCCTCCCACTATGAATGAGTGGAACCCCTGTGACATAGGGCTCGTTGATCAGAAAAAGAGATAGTTCCATGGCACGTCCCCAAATTAGTGAAGCTGTGTCTGACCTGCTGCATTTTCACTCCTGGACATATCATGTTCATATGGGTGTCTAAATATTAATTTATCTTTACTTTTTTCGGAGTGCAGCCTGTTGTTGAATTCTTTTGGTGCTAATTTATGTAGTGAGAGGCCTTTGACCTCTGCTAATGTTGAGGGATGGGGTAAAAAAGCCATTTTGACTTCAGCGGCATGGCTTCCAGACCCAGAAAGGTGTGGCTCAGGCTATTCACTTAGTTCTCTCATTTTTGGGTGGCAGTTTCTGTTTCTGAAATAATAGAAATCTTTGCCTGTATTCATTTTACCTCACATGAAATCCAGACGTTTACTCCGTCCATGGTCTTGCAGTAGTTAAAAAGCACAGATTGGTTCTAAATGTCAAATCATCACATATTAAATTAGGTGTCTGGAGTAGGGTGAAAAAATGATCCTTGGGAGGCACCCTTCATCTGTGAATTCTAAGAGAAGCCTAGGCAGGCCCCTTAGATTGGTCACATAGGTAGCTGAAGTTAAGTAAAATTAATTTTATCCTGACTTGACTCAATGATTATATTTTATAACAATTTCTAATACCAGAAATCAAAAGAGAAATCACAGTTGTTCTTAGGATGAAATGCCATTCAGAAAAGAAAAAACAGAAACAAAACAAACCACTTAAACAGTATGAATATATCCCACAGGCTGAACTTGAGTCATATTTTTCCCAGCAACCTTGCTGTGTGCCTTTTATCTAGTGCCTCCTTTGCTCTTTCTTTCTCACTAAATCTCAGAAATCTGGAAGATGGCATGGACATTGGACAGGTGCCATGGCAACAAGCCTCCAAAGGAAGTCTGTTGGTTTGGCTGCCTGCAAGAATATGCAGGAATTATTCCTGTCCTTTGTGGGATAAAAATAATCTTCATTTACACGTCTTCAAACCTGTTCAGAAAGAAAGATTTTTGCTGTCATCATGCATTTGTCTTTAGTATTCAGAAATACTTTCAGGGTAGAGAACGGGCAGAGCTGTGGCTGACCCAGTACTCTTCCAGAAGGTCTTAGCCCATGTGAAGTTCACAGGGGAGAAGAGAGTTCATTGCCCATTGCTCAAAACCCACAGGCTCAAAACCCATGTACTGGCAGCTGCTGAATGGCACCAGTCTAAATTCAGCACTGACTAATTCACACTGCTTCTTTGCTGCATAGGAAGTAATCCAAAATTTAGAAGGTGACATGTCTGGATTTCAGAACTGTCTTTTTGATGTAGGAAACAGCAGTCTGTCACTGCAGCTGATATCCCATCACAGCTTCTGTAAAGCAATTTTGGTCCAGCCAGGTTTGTTGATGGAAAAAGCCCTTTGTTGTGCCAGCAAACAGTGATCCTATTAATCTTCTAGACTAGGGTGTATTGAATACCATATTC